GGACTGTTTACTACCATGTGGCTGATGAAAGTGGAGATGTGGATGAAGATACAGTGGAGGGTTCTTGTCTTACATTCAAAGGAAATGGGGTGGAGGGACTGACTCGTAAACTGGAGGAAGAAACAGGGATTGAAGATATCATCGTGTGCACTCGCAACCCATTGAATGGAAATCTTTATCCCCTTCGCCTGCAACTTCCTCCCAACAATGCTACCATGCATGTGGTGGCTGTTCCCGAGTCATCAAAATGTGAGATAGCTTCAAACCTTTTCCTGTTGAGTTTTTCTCTAAGTTGGCCCTACTGGTTTTGATCTTTTTCCTTAACATCTTGGCTATCTTTTGTTTTTCAGTGGGGCAGGAGTTTGCAAAGCAACGTTTATTATGAACTCAGACAAGTATCAGACCTTGGTTCAGACTCGCTCAGATTCTTCGTTGTTTTTTCTTTTGGCCACACAGAAACAGTTACAACAAAAGGGTGTTTAAAGCCATATGTGTAGTCTTCCATATCAGTGATTGCAGCTAAATTCAGGAAGCTTTTTCTGTAATTGATATTCAAAGCTGTTCTTGAATTGCCATAGGAAGGGAGATAGTTCTTGCAGTCTTGACTTTAAGGCAGAGTTTTTGGAAAGGTTCTAACTCCTGTTCATTCATGTTGACTTGGCATATCATTGAATGATTTCATTTCTGAACAGTTCCAACCTGCACTTTTCAAACAATTGAATAACTTTATTGGCTGATCTACACAGAAAACACCAAAAGTTCATACAGGAATACGTCCCATTCTTAAAATGATGAAATCTATTAAGATATCTCATGATAATATCTGTAATGAAAATTGGAGAAATTTCTCATGACAACTCTTCTTTAGAAAGCCTTTCAAGGAGGAGTCCGTGGACTGTCTAAGAAAAATAAGCTGCATCAATTCTACTTGGGAGTTTTAGAGATAAAACATCTGCTTGTAATCTCAGGTAGGTTTGTACTTAAAAATTAAAAATATTGAGATGTGAGATCTTACATTGGTTGTAGAGAGGAATAAAGCATTTCTTACCACGGTGTGGAAACCTATCCTTAATATACGTGTGTTTAAAATCGTGAGGATGACGGCGACATATAACGGACCAAAGCAGACAATATATGCTAACAATAAACTTGGTATCAGAGCGAAACATCGTATATCAATGAGGACATTGGACTCCCAAAGGAGTGGTTTGTAAGATCCCATATCGATTAAAAAGAGGAATGAATCATTTCTTATAAAAGGACAATGAACCTCCAAAAGAGGGTAAATTGTGAGATCCCACCTCGATTGGAGAGGGAAATGAAGCATTTAAACCTAAAATTCTATTCCGGAAGGAGGGTCAAGATTCATGCCAATGTAGCTTGCATAAACATGAGGGTACATTGTACTTAACACCCATCTTGAGAGAGAGTTGAATCTGTATAACCTCTATAGATTCAACCTTGAAATACTTTCCAAGTTTTACCGGCCAACATTGGGTGTATGATATTGTCCACTTTGGTATGATATTGTTAGACAAACACGACTCTCCACAATAGTATGATATTGTCCACTTTGTGGACAAGCTCTCATGGCTTTACTTTTGACTTCCCGAAAATGCCATATTCCAATGGAGAGAGTATTGTTTGTTTATAAACCTATGAGCATTTCCTAAATTAGCTGATGTGAGACTTTCATCATCCAACACCCACCACATGGATGATATTTTTGTGTACACTTTACCATAGTAAGTTCTCCGATGATTGAATTCCATGAATTTGAAGCCATGTTTGGACATTGTGTAACAACTCAAGCCTACCGCCAACAGATATTGTCATTTTTGAACTTTTCTTTTAAGACTTCCTCTCAAGATTTTGAAACGCGTCTACGAGTGAGAGGTTTCCCCACTCTTATAAGGAATGCTTCGTTCCCTTCTCCAACCGATATAAAATCTCACAATCCATCTCGCTTGAGGGCTTAGGATTCTCACTAACACATCACCTGATGTCTGGCTCTGATAGCATTTGTAACAACTCAAGTCCACAGCTAGCACATATTGTATCTTTGGGCTTTCCCTTTCAGGCTTCCTCTCAAGATTTTGAAACGCATCTAGAAAAAAGTTTCTACACTCTCATAAGAAATGTTTCGTTCCTCTCTCCAACCAACGTGGGATCTCACACCTTGTCTCAAACACTTGTCGAGCCATTCTCAAGAAACCACCACACTTGCTGTACATATCCACCTGTGAGGAGTTGATCAGGACATCACCAGCCAGAGCACCACATCCTCAGAGATAAAGCACTAATACCGACACAAGCGAATTGCATTGTATAGCCATCGAGCTCAAAGATTGACCGACAGCATTTTCCAAAAGCCCAAATTGACCATTTGCATCAATCTTCCACATTCCACAAAACCAAACTTCTGTTAGACATTTTCTCGAACACCTTCAATGCTAAACTCGAAAAACCACAAGCAGCATATAAATGAATCAAACTATTGCCAACATAAACCTCCGAATCTAACCCAAGTTTTACAATATGATCGAATTGGGGCCATCAATTTGATAAAAAAAAAAACACGACAGACATAACCAAAATCAAGTAAGGAAGAAACCTGAAGAATTTGGTAGAGAGGCAGAGAGAGGATTCGTGGGTCGAGAAGCTACGGAGTCCCTGAGCGTGTATTAGCTTGAAGACGACATTGATAGACCGTGGATTTGGTGGGATCGTTAGAAGCATTGTCCACCGACAAGCATGAACTTGAAACAGTTCCAGAACTATGAATACAGTAAGTGGAAGATGAACTTTATGAAGATGAGAACGAACACATGGACAAATCCAAAACCAACATGTCGAAACTGGTTCCCTAGCAAGTGATTTGATGTTCTTCTAGCCCGTATTATGGCGAGAGGGCTTGCCCAATTGATATCATATTTTCAAAATCTTAATACATCACTGTGAATCTGTAAATAAGAATCTGTCCGACTTTTTAATTAGAAGTATAGTGATAATTTCAAGCTTGAGATGTTTAATTTGATTAAACCACAAATTCTAGTCTCACTCGTAAGATATAATTCTAGATTTCTAGAGATGGTATCACAATTTTAAATTTTTAAGTATAGAAATCTTATCTTAAAAGATGAGACAGAATTAAAGAGAAAGGAAAGCTAAGTTCAAGCAACGAAGTATCTATTTTCCATTCAAAATATCAAGTAATTATTTGTGCATCCTTTCCAACCAACCACCAACCATTTTTTCTCCATTTATTATCACTTATTCTAAAAATAATAAATATCTCTATTTTCTCGGGTTACCACAATCTCAAACTAAGCCCAATAAGTTTATTTACAACCGATGTGAGATCTCACCATTCAAGAGTTTCTAGCATCCTCACTTGTATATCGCTAACAGATATTGACCCAATTATGCATCGTCGTGTGCCTCACCGTTTTAAAACGTTTCAATGAGAGAGAAGTCCACACTTTTATTTCGTTCTCATCTTCAATCAATGTGAGGTTTCACAAAAAGTAACACACTTACTTTCAAGCAAAGAAAAAAACAATAAACTTATTTCGTACGTGGATGATGTTTATCAAAATTTACTTGTCGAATAAGGAAAATTTTAAATCTATTTTGAACTCACCTAACACATTTGTAGTTCTATTAGCATTTTTTTTAAATGATTTTTATTAAAAATAAAAATAAATTTGATAAAAGGTAAAATAGAAAATAGTATATACCATTTTAATGATTTTTTAAAAAGATTATTCCAAATACTTTAACGAAGAGAATCTCATTTACCTTTTGACTTTTTTTTTTTTTTTTTTTTTTTACATATTTATAATTACATAAATAAAACGTTGAAAATTTTATTTAAAAAAAAAATAATCTTTAATCAGATTTTATTCCTTCTAATGTGAATCTGGAAATTAAATAAAAATACTTTTCATTAAAAGCAAATATTTCTCTTTAATTTCTAGATTCTCATTAAAAGGCATATATAATAAAAGAAATTAAAGATAAATAAGTCTATTTTCCTTGGGGAAAAAAAGAAGATATTTTTTAAAAGATTTTCAGGAGAATTAAAAATGGTAATTTAAAATAAAAAATAATTTGGACAAAAAAGTCGATTTAATATATTTTAATTAATTAAGGGGGGCCAGCTGGTTGAATGGTGAAAAATGACGTGTTTGGCTTATTCCGCAGCGGTTCCCACGGCGGCGACTGCCGACTAATATTCGAATTCCAAATTAAATGCATAATTTATTTTATAATTTATATTATTAAATATATGTAAAAGTACAAAACTGTCCCTCTCCTCTCTCTTTCCTACACCCAACCACTTATTCTCCAAATCACTACTTGACCGCACGTTCGATATTTTTTTGGAACCCTTTCTAAATCATTTNTTAATTTGTTTTTTTTTTTTTTTTTTTTTTTGTGCATAATTATTTCTTTTTCTGTTGTATATAATATATTTTTGGCTTTATTAGACAAATATAGTAAATTGTGCCGACAAAATCACCTTAATATTTTATTTGATTTTAAAGGAAGCATTTTTGCATTATTTGATGAATTTATTTGTATTTAATTATAAAAAATATTTATATTCAACTATTGTATTATTTACTATTATTTTATTTACTCTAAATAAATAAATAAATAAATAAATATATATATATATATATATTGATGAGAACCAACTAATAATTGATGATTTAGTTAAATTAAATTAATAAGAAAAAACCTACCCATCCAATAATAGAAGGGGTTTTTTTTTTTAAAAAAAAGGAGATAATATTTAAAAAAAAAATGATAATAAATAATAAATTGGGTGCCCGACAATTCAAAAGGAGAGGGTAGAGGGGTGACCCTCACGTGGATAAGGAAAATCGTCGTCGTCCATTCAGGATTGTCATTCACGCAAGTTTCTGTCACCGAGATGTGACGTTAGCAGGAAGAAAAGACATTTGACTTTAAATATATATTATTAAAAAAGCGAGATTGGAGCAATCAGCCACAATTCTTCCACTTTTGCTTCGATTTTAGTTCCCGAAATTGAAGTCATCAGCTAAAAGGAGTTTGTTCGAGCTCTGGGAATTTGGATCCACATTTTGAAGGATTTGGAAGGATTTTGAGGGATCGAGGAGGTAGCTGTGTGATGGGGGTGGATTACTACAATGTGTTGAAGGTGAACAGAAAAGCGAATGAAGAGGATCTGAAGAGGTCCTACAAGAGGTTGGCTATGAAATGGCATCCTGATAAGAATCCTTTGAACAAGAAAGAGGCGGAGTCTAAGTTCAAGCAGATATCTGAGGCATATGATGTTTTGAGCGACGCTAAGAAGCGTCAGATCTACGATCTTTACGGCGAGGAGGCTCTCAAATCTACTGATTTTGTTCCTCCAGCCAATTCCAATCCTTCTTTTTCCTATGTCCCTCGAGATGCAGATGACATTTTCGCCGAGTTGTTCGGCGGGGCTGGGAGTGCTAAGAGCCGAGGGTTTGGGGGAGAGAGTGTGTTTAGGAATGGTAAGGCGGAGGCTGGGAAGCAAACGAATAAGAAAGCATCGCCAATTGAGAGCAAGTTAATGTGTAGCTTGGAAGAGCTTTACAGAGGTTCTAGGAGGAAGATGAAGATTTCCCGCATTGTCCCTGATGAATTTGGGTATGTCAAATTTTCCTGCTAGTGGTTTCTGGCTCTTCTTTTACTTCTTTTGATTTTAATTGAAACAAAGATGTTGAATGCTGATAAATATAATTTATTTCGATTTATCTAATGGTATCTTTGATGATGCAAGGCTTAATGGACGGAAATGAAGGAAAATATTACGAAGATATTGTTCTTTTTCTCTAGCTGCCTGCCTAGGATTATCAGGATATTGATACCTCTTTAAATGGCGAACGATCCCTTCTATTATACTTTTACCATTGATGTAAAGACGATAGGATAAACTAATATGAGCCAGTGGTCTGCAACTTTGAATATTATAGCATAGCATGTTATGTCAAATTCTTGTCTGCCTTAAGTAAAGACATACTTGTGTAGCAAATTGGATGATTCTGCGTGCTTTTCAGAAAGACAGGTGATTATATGAATATCATGCTCTGACATAAACTTTATGATCAGAAAGGGGACTTGGTGCTTCTTCTTTCTTCAATGGCCACAAGACGCATCTATAATGATATTTTCTGTTGATTACGAATAATTAACATGCTTTTCTTGATGAAAATTGGAGAAGAACACCATTGAATCGAATTGAATGAACATAAGCTTACTCTTCCTTTTTGGCATAATTGCAATCAAGCAAACATTTAACTTCATCGAGTGATGATTCGTCTTGTGTGACACCCTATTTCATTCTCTTTTCATATCTTCATTGTTCTTGCTTAGTTTTCGTCTCGTCTTTCTCCTCGATTTAGGCTTGACATTCAAGTAACTTGTTTTTCAGGAAGCCGAAAACTGTTGATGAAGTGTTAAAAATCGATATCAAGCCTGGTTGGAAGAAGGGGACAAAAATCACTTTCCCTGAGAAAGGCAATCAAGAGCCTGGGGTCGCCCCTGCTGATCTTATATTTATCATCGATGAGAAACCGCATCCTGTGTTTGAAAGGGATGGTAATGATTTGGTAGTGAATCAGAAACTATCTCTACTAGAAGCACTAACCGGAAAGACATTGAACTTTACAACTTTGGATGGAAGAAATCTCACGACCGTTACTGATATTGTCAAACCGGGTTACGAGGTAGTGATCCAGAATGAAGGAATGCCCATCTCTAAAGAACCAAACAAGAAGGGGAATCTTAGAATCAAGTTTGACATAGTTTTCCCATCAAAGCTTACTTTTGATCAGAAATCCGATCTAAGAAGGGCTTTGGGTGGTTCTGATTAAGAAGCTGAGTCCAGGAGCGGTCACAACAACGAACCTTCTACACAGGGGATCGATAATACAAGCTCAAAAACATGTAAATACTCGTCCTACACTCCAGAAAGAAACATTGTGCATATTAGAATCTTGGAGAACTGCTTGATTAATTCCTGGAAATATGATTTAGGGATTAAAATCTAGCATTCTTCATCCACTGCCCTTGTAGCCAAAAGTTAATTTTGACTTGATTATAATAATGTTGCATCATGTGATCATACATATTTTACATGGAAGTCTGTGTAAGATTATTTGTATTTTATTAGCTTGGAATTTCGTGTATACTGTGCATCATCTGGTGTTGAATAATTTATGCAGCGTCCTTTTTGTCATCCTTTCTAGCATATTATAAACCATTTCCATCCTCTGATTGGTTTGATTGCAATCAATGGAACCAATCAAAACCATGTTCACTCTGCTGGCTGAGCTACCTGTCATTTATTTTATGTATTTGTTTGAGTTTATAGGAGAAAAAGGCAGAAATCTTTCTGAACATAAATCATAAGGGCTGGCATAATAGAATAAACACCACATGGTTTGTTTGTTCTAGCAAACTAGATAATCCCGCTTCTTTATTACTGTTTTTTCCTTCCTTATTTAGATGCTTCATGAACATCATCAATATTTACTATATTTCTCAATCTTCTTTTGCAGGTCCTCCCTCCTGGCTCCGACCACTTTATCGACTACTTTCCCGTTCTTAAGCAGTATGAATGTTGGCATTGCCTCTACGCCATATTCCTTAGCGACATCCTGCGTTGTCATCCATTTTTTCAGCAGTCATGTTTCAACATACCCACTCAACCAATATCAAACACAAAGACAAGACAAGATTGAAAGCTCGACCATACCGCCAATTTATCGACGTCGATTTTGATGAACTCAACATCCTTGAACCTTGCAGCAAACTCCTTGATGATCGGCTCCATGTGTCGACAAGGTGCACACCATGCAGCAGTGAAATCAATCACCATCTACAACAAACCAGCAGCACAAACAAATCACAAAGCAAAAAACAGCTGCTTGTCAACGACAAATCCGAAGCATGCATTATTTATATGTTGGAATGGAAAGTTCATATGAAATTTACAAGCTTGTTTGTTTCCTTCGTGGCTTCGTAATGAGCTGTCCACTCAGCTTTGTTGAGGCACTCGACAATGGAGGGAGCCTTTCCTTTTAATGATAAACTGGAAGATCTTGAACGTGGGACTGTAAAGCTTGCTCCCATTTTTTGAAATTGAAGCTGGAAGTTCTTAAACTCAGGTCAGTTTGAGCCTCTTCTCTGAGAGAAACCTTGTTTGTGTTTATTACAGGTTTGAGCAGCTTCATATATAGGAGAAGAAAACAGTAAAGGGGGAAACTCAAGCTTTATGGAATATGATTCCTTATGGGCCGTAATTTTATATTTTCTTAATTTTTGTGTTGTCGACAGAAAATGAAATTATCACCGTTTAAACTCTTAAGTGGGGATTAACGAAGTTGATTAGGGACAAATTTAAAGTAATTATACGAATTAAAATACTTTTTTAAAAGTTAATGTCTGCTCGTTTGGTATCTTTTGGTATGAACTACTTTATCAAAAATGCAGTGTCCGGCCATAAATTGATCAACTTTTAACATTGCGGCAAAATGGTATTTAATTAAATATATAAATTAACTTTTTTTTTTAAGAATAAATTATAAATGCATGGCTATATTTTTATTGTATTAAAAAAATAATACTATGATGTCAAATCTTGTATGGAAAACCTGACAAGATATTATTATTATTATTATTACTATATTCTTTTTTTTATATATATACATAAAAAAATGACCCTAAATATTTTGCCTTTATTCGTCTTATTATTTTATTCTATTTTCTTAGAAAAAATAGTAGACCAAAATAAAATTTTGGTTTTTAAAGTTTGTAATTGAGATTTAGGCGATTTTTAGATTTTTAAAAGAGATACTTTCAACGCTAAAGTTTGGATTTTAAGGTTCATTCAATTCTTTAATTATTTTTTAATTGTACGAGGTGATTTAATAAAATATATTAATTTTATTTTTCGTCCGATAATTATTATGTTCATAGTTTTATATGATGTTTTCACTTCTCTGGTAAATACATTTGAATTTTAACTCTAGTAAAAACTTGGGTTTAGATGGTAAAAACTCTAGTAAAAAGTAGTAACAAAAATAAAATGAGGTTTTCATTTTGTAAAGAATAGATATTAATTTAAATTTCATATATCAAAAAGTATATTTTGTATTAGATAAGTAATAAATTTCTATGGTCAGGAAAGAATATAAGCATAAAAATAATAATAATGATAATATTAATGGGGAGTATCACACTTTAATTTAACTTTAGAATAACTTAATCAATAAAACATCTATTACCATTCCAATTCAACCATTGAAACTTCGATTGAAGCTTTAATATGTGAGGCCCAGCACAATGCCATCTTTTGAAATGGAAATGAATATGCTTTGCTTGGTATATATGCGTCGCTTTTTTCTTTTGAGTTTCTCACCGTGCTATACTTTAATTGTACTGTAATAACACGAAATTTATCATACTCAAAATTCTTTAAGGTAGAAGAAGAGAATTATCTACAAGGAATGGAAATTCGCCAAGTTCTACAATATCAGGAATTGAACAGTTCTAAAACGATGTGGTTAAGAACTACGCATACTCAATAACTAAAACGAGATAACCATATCAAACCTTAAAATATCTAAGCATCATCATCAACTCACGTCCACAAAATAACTTAGGATCAAATGGTGGTTTGGCGATATCTGCCTTTTTATACAGCTTCCATTGGATCCATCAAAACTAGAACTACAAAAAACAAGATGTTGGATGGTGAATTCAACGAGCACCAATGTCCAAATAGGGGAGAGGGAATAATGAAAAGCAACAGACATGCGAACCACCCATCCACTTCTGAGAAACAGCCCCCAAGGACATTCATAGAATAATCACGAAGCCACGCCAATACTTGCAGAGTTGGGAGCACCTTGGGCTGAACCATGGCTGTTGTATGAGTGGCCGCCACCACCCCTCCCACCACCTCTTCCTCGACCATTATAGTAGTTCCTCTGGTAATAATTTCCTGACTGGTCATAGTATCGAGGGCGTCCATTCTGGTAGGAACCTCCACCCCTTCCATCACCGCGACCTCCACGACCATTAGGGTATCCTCCTCTTCTGCCACCTCTTTGGTTCATATAGGACCTTCGAGGAACATATTGCTGTTCTTTTGCATCTCCATCCCCATGTTTCAGCTCAAATTCTTCTGATCTCACTTCTTGCTGTGATATGAGGAGTTCAGAAGAATTTCCGGCCTCCGGCATATCCTGCAATGCAGAAGTTTCCAAGTTCAAATAGCGGCATACTCGGAAAGTATAATAAAATAAGAGAAAAACTAGAGTGAAGTACTGCAGAAAGATTAACAAAGTTGTGGCATACTCTGGGCAACTCGTCAGCAGAACCAGGTTGATCATCACTGATATCATCTCCTTGCAATTCTCCCACGTCAACGTCCTACAAATTAAAGAGTTACACAATATTACTACTAAAATTTCCAATAGAAACAATTTCAGTAAGGTAGTAAAAGATTAACTTCAAATAATAATTTCAAGCAACTGTCATCCTTTAGATTGCGATGTCCAGTCAATTGGTCGTTCTGATTCTTTAATAAAGCAGCAAACTTAACCACTAATATTCTGACACCTTTCTTTTCAAGGTCAACAACATAAAATATACATATAAGCTTCAAAGAACCATAAAATGTTTGTTCACTACAAGATTAAATGGTCTCTGACACCTTTGAAAAGAAAAAGTAAACCAAAACCTACATCCAAGCCTTTGACCATCGGTAGCCAAATTCCCAACATTTCTAAGAAGCAAAGCACATGATATTTTCACCGTCCAAACTAGGGATAAAAAAATGAACTCAAATATCAGAAAATAAAAGGCTAATATTTATTAACTTCGCTCTTTCCCCTTTACAGAGAGTATTTTTTTAATGAATTAAATGCAGAAGGTATCTTACATGCATTGCTATTAACAAAGGGTAATGAAATGTCAAAACATTTATGTACAATTTTCTTAGGAAAAGTTTCAATCATTTATGAACATGGATGACCACTCTGCACAAAAGCAACAAGCTAAAATAATTAAGTGGGCTAAGAAAAACAACAAAAAGAGGATGATTCTAGGAGCACTTGCCTCTACAGATGTTTAGACATCTGATGTCTTGAAAGCTTTCTCATTGATTAGGTAAAAGTTTATAATAAAAAGATCTATACTCCTCTCTATATTTAGAGCTTACAAAAATGCACATATGTGAAACAGACAGCATGGATATAGACACAAATTCAGTATCATTTTCTAGAAAATATAGGGCACAGACATGCAATGAAAAAATTTCTAAAACATTTTTTAACAAGGAAATTTTTTCAATCAATAAACTTATGCATTTACACACCGGGATTGATGTATTTTATTCTCAAAAGTTCACTATTTTTTCCTTTATTACTATTTGTGTCTATTAATTATGCATGACAAGTGTTCGATACATGCTTAGAAAAGGTTGAGTTCATATACGATTTATAACTAATGTGTGGCACATCAATAATGCTATCAAGTGTTAGCTATGCTTCTGATATGAACCAAAGACATCTCAATCATACTTAAAGGAAGTTGTGAAGAATGTTGTTCAAATTATCACAAAATAAAGACAAGTTCTATTAAAGTTAAACTCAAGTTACATTCAATTTCACGTTAAGAAGAATCAAGTCTCATTTATGCAACAAGAGCTTCAAGAAACTTCAAATGCAGTTTCATTTGTTCTTAGACTAAAATCTAGATTTATGGTGTTTCATAAGTGTATTTTAAGTTTTATGACTTATTTATTTTTAGGTTACATTTACATAGTGGCTATTTATTGTCATAAAAGGTTACAAACTCTTGGAATATCTCTGGAAGGTCAAGGGTTTCATTTCGAGGCTATATAAAGTCATGTATGTTATTTTTGTAAAAAGGAATTGAAAAATGTAAGAAAATTAGCATTTGTGCTTTCTTTAAGCCAAAGGCTAAGTTTCTTTGCAATTCTACGTAGTTTAGATTGCATGTTTAGAATCATTCAAGCTTGACACAATCAATCGTTCTAAACATGCAATCTAAATTACATAGAATTGCAAAACCCTCCACAAGCAAGATTGATGATGTCAAGCTTGAATGGTTCTAAACATGCAATCTAAACTGCATAAAATTGCAAAGAAACTTAGTCATTGGCCAAAGGAAAGCACAAATGTTATTATTACTACATTTTTTCAAATCCATTTTACAAAGATTACACTATTTCAAATCCATTTTACAAAGATAACATACATGGCTTTATATAACCTCAAAATGAAACCCTTGACCTTGTATGAGGCATTTTAAAAGTTTGTAACCTTCCTATTTTATGATCCTAATTAGTCACTATGTAGATGTAGTGAAATGTAACCTAAAAATAAATAAAAAGTCTTAAAACTTAAAAACATCAATGAAACACCATAAATCTAGATTTTAATCATCCATCTTAAATTTGTAACCACCTAAGAATAAATGAAGCTGCATTTGAAATATCTTGAAAGGTTTGTTGCGTAAATAAGACTTGATTCAAATTGATTGCAACTAACAGAACTTCACTTTATTTTGTGGTAATTCAAACAACATTCTTCATAACTTCCTTCAAGTTCATATTGAATGACTGAGATGTCTTGATTCATAGATAGATTCTCCATAAAGCTTTCTCCTCAATGCAATTTCTCCAAATGAGAAATGGAAAATTTAAAGAACGTCGTCGATGAGAAAAGAGAACTAAGTTCGAGACTAAACCAAAATGAGAAAGGGTAAATTTACCCTAAATAGATTCTCCATAAAGCTTTCTCCTCTGTAGTTTCTCCAAATAAATGAACATAGCTCAAATCCCCACCATGTCGAAGGTTTACTTACATTTGCGTAGCTCTATCATTAAGGCACCGACTCCTTTCTTCAAGGTCAGAAGTTTTAGTCCTTACCCCACTTTTGTCGTACTACAAAAAGAGAAATTCCTTGGTTTAAAACTACCAATAGCTCATCATCCCATGGTTGATGGTGGTTCTGTTTTCTTCAACTAATGATAGACAGTGGGCATGGAAATGGAAACTTCTAAGGCTTTGGACAAGACAGGGTTAAATGGGCCCATTTTTAAATAAGGAACTGGAGTACACGAGAAGGGAGAAAACACAAGCACTGTCTACAAATTCGTTGATAAGACACCCTTAATAAGACAGATATTCGTCTTTAAGGCAGGCACAAGCAAGAAGTTAGATCGATCGCTAATCTTAGACCTTCGCATCAAAGAAAACCAACTGTCTTCAAGCTTGTAAACTTTAGCTGCCTTTCAAAAAAGATACCATGAACATCTGCTAATCGGCCTAAATGACATAAGGCATTGGGAAAAAAGGACACATCTAAACAACGCTAGAAGATGGCAAGGAGGAAGGCAAGGTGGTTTCAATTAGGATGAAGCCAGTGCAATTTTCTTAGAACTTCTGACAAACTTCCATCGACATCAAGACAAGCTTCTAGGGTTCTTTTTTTTTTTTTTTTTTTTTTTTTT